CTGGGAATCCAGGGGATTACATACTCACGATCAATAACCAGTGTTTCTGCCTCTGATCTACAAATGGAAGTGCTCACCTTCATATGACCTCTGTCTTCCTACATAGTTCTACTCTGTTGTAGTTTTTCTCATAATCATTGTTCTTCTTACCAACTTCACTTGATTTAAAATGATCACACACCACCAGCCCAAGCTCTTTAATACCATAGGACTTTTCGATACCATATTTGCTTGCAAAAGCAAAACAAAAATCAACAGAGCGAGAATTTCGCTCTGCAAATTCTCAAGAAAAAAAACCCAGCTGTCTGTGGGTACCCTATAGTCTGATTCCCTCAGACTGAGAATCAGCCTTTATCTGTCCCTTGGAGTCCCTGCAAAATACTAGCTCTGACACCTGCAAAGAAGGAGGGAGAGTAGCCTGGGGAGTGACTTAAGGACAACACTCTTGGTGACTGACAGTGGAGAGTCTGAGTAACTCGCACACAGAGAACCACTCTGTCGTGGATCAAGCCTCAGCGGAGCATCAGGATCTACATTCAATGAGAGAGCTGGGAGTACATCCATGGGTAGTCAAGAACAACAACAGAGAATAAAAGAAGGTGCCGCAATCCAAGCAGAAGGACACCAAAGCTGGAAGGGCACGGAGCACTGAATTCAGTCAGGTGAGAATGACGGGGGGACCCGGGTGCTCCTGGATGATGATGCTCACCCGGGCTGTACTGATTGTCAGCGGCATGCCAGTCAGTTACTGCCCCATCCTCTTTCCAAAATCCAAGTAGATATGCACCACAAGGCCTAAGTGTCGCCTTTGATCACGCCCTGAGCTATGACCCACTTCCACGTGTCATGGGCTCCGCTCAGATGTCAGGACACAATGTGGTGCTGCCCTTCCTGAGCTGTGAGAGCTGTTCTAGAGGGAAATAACCAAAAGGCAAATTTCCTTTCAAAAATTGTCGAGTCAGAAGCAGAAATTTTATGTGAGAAAAACAAAGTGGTCTTCAGGATGTGTACCCTGAGGAACCAGAGGGCCTAGGAACCTGCTCCCCTGGATCCCACTAGGCGCAAGCTCCCAGCCCCCGTTTCATGTTTTCTAACACCTCTCAAAGCTGCCAGACACAAGAAGGGAAGGAAGTCAGAAAAGAAACAGCCTTAGCTCTGATAGCTACAGAATGTTCCTCACCCTTACCAGGCCCTGGATTAAAGTCAGACTTTAAAGAGATTTGATTTATTTATTTGTGTATACAAGTACTGGGGTGTACCAGAGGTGTGTAGAGGGCAGCCAGGGGAGGGTGAGAGGCTTCACCAGAGACAGAGTGGGGAGCAGAGCAGGCAGATCGACGAAGTACACTGCTGAGGGGAGCAGCCGGTGGTAGAGAAGTCAGCTGTGCCATGTGGGTCACTCCCTGGCAGGGGATTGAAATTGTGCCTTGCTGCGGTGGCTGGCGACAGCTTGATAGTGCTGATACATTAACCCCTGCACCACCAGGGAGGCTGCTTATTTGTTCATTTTTTAAGTTAAATTTCTTGTTCAGAGCTCACTATGGCCAATTGTTAAATCAGAGAAGATGGGCGTGTGCCCCTCTATCAGGTGGTAGGAAGTAACTGTGTGGCGAGATCATCGTCTTTATAATGACAGTCCTTGTCACTGTCCTACCATACCATCCTCACTGCTGCTGAGCACCTTCCCCATGCCAGGCGCCCCTGCATGGATGTCGTGTGCTTCACCCGAGCATCCTCATCCACAGGGAGGTGCTATAGCTGTCCCCATTTTTCCGATGAGAAAATCGAGGCTCCTAGCAATAGGATAAATTACATCACTTAATTTCCCTTAGATATTAAATAAGGGGACTTAGACTGAAGTCTGAGTCTTTGTGATTTCATATTTTGTGTTCTCAACTAGGCTGTTGTACAACATCTAGGGGATTTGAAAATGGGAGTGTTCAGCTTCTAAATAGCAAATATCACATAAAGGGAGAGCGCCCTGGGCAGAGTCAAAGGACCTGCTGCATTCTCCTCACAAATAAATCCTTGTTTGAACTTGGTAAATTCACTCAATGCCTCAGTCTTAGCTTACCCATCCATACCCCGAGGGGGTTGGAAAAGTTAATCTCAAAGTTCTCTCCCAGCCCTGCCCTTCTCTGACCGGGCATTTCAGGGCAGACCATCCATGTTAGCTCCTGTTTAAGCTTGTTGTCTTTAGCTCATCCCCAGGTCACTCTTCTACTGTACAGGCGTGAGCACTGGTATTTCTCAGGGGCTCCACTGAATAAAGTCTGCATCTCAGATGCTCGTACAAGCGGAAAGGTCCAATTACGAAGGTTCTATTAAGAGGCTAAAAGATCTGATAAGCTTTGTAAAAGTAGAACGCTTAGGTTAATGATCAAACCTTGCCTTTCATCTCCCAGGTCAGCAAGAAAAGCTGCTGGTGGGCAGCCCACCAGACCAGGTACATTCAAGCCCAGAGACCCTGCAGGCGTGAAAGCCTGACACTGCAGAAGGCTAAGCAATGGTTACTTTTATCATCTCATTCTTTGCTTTATGAAAAGATCCACTAAATGGATCCTTTAAATAGCAATCTCTTTCAGAAGATTTAAAAATAATTCAATTTACTTCTTTAGAAACAAATTTACCATACAAGGCAAGACCCACCTTTATCTCCAGTAGGAGTTTTGAGTAGTTACAGTCTATCAGAAGCAGGGACATTGCATTTCTTGTAAGGAAAAGTCTATAAATTCTCTGATTGAAAGCACATTTTTTTGCCAGCCTATTTATTGGGCACTGAATGTGCAGCTCAGTCCTAGGATAAGGCTGGATTGGTGTTGGCAACATTCTGCACACCATATTTAAGTCCAGTGTGTGGGTAGATCGTTTTAATTTTAAAAGTAATAACTTAAAATGGAACAAGTGCTACAACAGGAAAAATATAGGTTTTATGAGCACTCTGAGTCATGGGAGATTCCAGAAGAAGGGACATTTGCAACAAGACCTAAAGACTAGGAAAGAAATGAGTGAGAAGGCAGGGGTGGAGGCGGAGGGTGGGGGTGGCTTGGAGGAAAAAATAAGGATGAAAACTCAGAAAAAACAGAGAGCATACATGTGACAGAAGCTCAGAGAAACATACAAGATATCCGAAGAATGAAGCTCTCCAGAAGAATCACGTATCTCCTTAAAGATCTCCGTCTGAATAATCTTGAACAAATCACTTGATCTCTTAAGTGTCTGGGGTCCTAATCTAAACTAAGAAGACTCTAGAGTAGGCAGTGTTTAATTCAGTATTAAATTCACCGCCATAGCTGCAGGTGGGGGATAAGACGGGGAGAGAAACGTCAGGGGAAGCGTGAGTATATGCCCATTTGTTCATTTGATAGTTATTTACTTAAGTCTCACTGTATTCCAGCTACAGTATTGGGCAACTTTGCTAGATGCTGAAGAGTTGGTCATCAAGGAAATTATTACAAAAATAATAACATAAGCAAATTTTATAAAGGGAAATGAGGCACCAATCAACCCCCTCACGTATACAGAAAGTGACAAGTATTAGGCATCGTTCTGGACCAAGACAAATTCACCCTCCTGCCTCTACCATTCAACATTATAATGAAAATGCTCACATGTGCAATTAGACAAAAAAATAGTATAAAGAACAGAAAGTGAAAAATAAAGCCACCAAGTTAAGCAGGCAATAAGATAATCTGAGTAGAAAATATAATATTCTATTGCTTCAAGTTGAAGGAAAACATAATTGACGTGACGATCCATCAATTATGATGCTATGTAATTGTCCATAAGAAATAAAAAACTGGGCCCTCACTGGTATCGCAGTAGATTAAAGCACAGCACTAAGAAGCTAAAGCCACTTCCACATGAGTTCGATGCCCACCTGCCCCACAGGTGATCCACAGGGCACTGCAGTCCTTTCCAGACCCACCCGCTGCTCCCCTCAGCAATTAACTTCATCAGTCAGCCTGTTCTGTTCCCCATTCTATCTCTGGTGAATCCTCTCACCGACCCTGCACCTCTGACCTGTACCCCAGTTCTGTATGCATAAATAAATAGATCTTTAAAAAAAAGAAATAAAAACTTAAAATTAACTTTAAATACCATTGATAGTATAAGAACTATAAGATCCTTATAGAAAAATTCACGAAAGTGTTGAAAGTGCATCCTAAAACTTTATTATTTTTTTTAAAGATTTATTTATTTGTGCATACAGAACTGGGGTACAGGCCAGAGGCTCACCAGAGACAGAGTGGGGAACAGAACAGGCAGGTCGACAAAGTACACTGCTGAGGGGAGCAGCGGGTGGGTCAGGAGAGGTCTGCCGCGCCATGTGGGTCACCTCCGGGGCAGGCGGGAATTGAACTCATGCAGAAGCGGCTTTAGATTCTCAGTGCTGCGCTTTAACCTGCTGCGCCACCAGGGAGGGCCCTATCTTAAAACTTTAAATAGATGAAAACCATACTTGTGGTTAGACCCACTATTGTAACAATGTCAATTTTCCCCAGTTGACTTCTAGGTGAAATGCAATGACAATCAAAATCACAGAAGGATTCCTAAAGTGTGGTGAGCTGTTGCAAACACTTAGAACAAGGTGGTGAAGTAGTTAGAGTGAAACTGGAAACCCCCCAAAAGTCCCAAAGGAAAACTGATAAATAAATTATGGCAAAGTCACAGAATGCTTACTAGACAACCAAAATGAGTGTCTGGTGCCATGTGTCAACGGAGACACATCTGAATAAGATAATGCTGCAAGTTGTAAAAAGGAGAATGGAATATATTTTTTTAAGATTTATTTATTTCTGAATACAGAACTGGGGTACAGGCCAGAGGCGCAGGGTGGTGAGAAGATTCACCAGAGACAGAGTGGGGAGCAGAACAGGCCGACTGGCGAAGCACACTGCTGAGGGGAGCAGCAGGTGGGTCAGGAGAGGTCTGCCACGCCATGTGGTCACCTCTGGGGCAGGCGGGGATCGAACTCATGCTGAAGTGGCTTCGGCTTCTTAGTGTTGTGCTTTAACCCGCTGCACTATCAGGGAGGGCTGGAGAATGGAATTTATGAAACATTTGAATTTTATAAAATAATTAAAAAGAGAAGATATTCTCAAGTTCTGTGTTGAGTATGACTGAAAATACAAGGAAAATGACAAAATATCTACAAGATTCAGCAATATGATTGCCACTGGTGTTCTAAGAAACTTTTTCTTTCTTTCATAGAACAAGGCTACATGTGTATTGTTATTGATAATCCACTGCTATAAAGTAAGTTACCTGGTATTTTAGTGGCTTAAAAATGGTATTTACTATCTCAATAGAGGGCATAATCCAGGAATGACTTAGCCAAGTAGTCTGGCTTAGACGTTTCCCTGTGGCAGCAGGCAAGCTGTCAGACAGACTGCTGTCATCTGAAAGTGTGAGTGGAGTGGGAGACCCTACCTATGTGGCCCCCTCCTGTGACTGGCAAGTTAACGCTGGTGGTTGGCAGGAGGCCTTGGATTCTCCTCACATGGACTCCTCTGTAGCCCACTCATATCCCCTATGACAAAGCCAGACTTCCTACCTGGGATGTGGCCCCAAAGAGACCAAGCAATAAGCCACCTTGCCTTAGATAACTGAGTCTCTCTCTGATCTTACACACGGTCTCTTCTGTTTTACTCTGTTCATCAGAAGGAAATTGCAAAGGGCAACTTTGCACCATCAAAGGAAGGGTAATCAGGCCTCACCTTTTGAAGGATGAATGGTCAGAGAACATGTTTCTATCATATCATAATACATTAAAACTTTGTGTGTGCTGCGAGAGACATAAATGTAATGTTAGATTTGACTCTCCAGAGTATAATCTTGTAAGTCAATTAAAGTCACATGCAAGGTGGTTTCCATCCAAGACCTCAAAGGGTAGGAGTGTAGGGGTGTTCACGTGGGGTGATGAGAACATTCAGGGAACAGAGATGGAAACAACCTTCTTCCCAGATGTTCAGGAGACCTGGTGGGGAGAAGGGGAGCAAATAAAGGAGGATAATGACAAAATTCCAGGAAAGAAAGACTTAATGAATGTTTAACATTGCATAAATGATGCACCCAAAGCATATTTTATTTACTTTTATTACAGACAAAACCAGATTTTGCTAAAAGCGTTTCCTATGGAGTTTTTCCCTTGGTAGTATGCAATTCATTTCTTTCTCAAAGACCAGGATTGTGTATTCTCTTATAATTTCTGTGTCTTTGAAAGCTAATATGATACCTGTGCCATGGTAGACTGTACAGAATAGTTGTTGAGTGATACATGTATTTACATACGGAATGAACCTGTGAGTAAATGAACGACCGAGTGAACAAATGAATGTTATTACTGACTCCGTTCCTGGGAGGCAGGAAATGGGATAGAAGCATCCGGACTGAAATAAGAGGCGAGAGCTTTGAGGTGTATTGTTGTGTTCAAAGACCAAAGCTTAGCTAGAAAGAGTGCCAGCCTCCACCATCCTCCCATCTTTCCAACACACAGAATCCCAAACCGTCAAAGCCTGACCTCCCATCTCCATGTAAACAGATAAGCAGACACATTAGCTGCCTCTCCCTGCGCCCTTTTTATTCAGAAATTGTCATCTTTTCTTGCCTTCACTCTCTTACCCACAAACCCACACCATTCATTGGCTTCTGATGGCAACTTTGGCTTTGCCCCAGGACAGCATTTACGGAAGTGTGACCCACCAGATCATCAGGAAAAACGAGAAACATAATGACAATGTGTCAGGGGGAGGCCTGGAGGCTAAATCTGTGTTTCAATACTTTGGGAAAATGCACTGTATTCTTTATCCCCTTCTTCCTTCAGAGATATACTGTGTATGACGTATATTTGGATCTATGAAAATTTCAACAGTAAAGGAACCTATCCCATATTTTAAAAGAATTTTCTTTTCAATCTCATTTGGCCTTAGGATAACTTTTGCTGTAACATCAATCATCATAAGCATTCCGGTTGCCATATATGAGGTGCTATGTCAAGAATTTATGCGTGACTTTTCAGAAGAACCTCATGATACGGATGTTCTTGGGATTCACATTTAGAAGGGAGGAAACCAAGTTGTAAAGAGGTTAAATGACTTACTCTAGGACAAAAAATTAAAACATAGCCAGAGCAGGATTTGAATCCAGTTGTGCTTGGTTCAAGAGTCTGTGTGTTCATACTACATAAACCAGTCCATAGGGAGAACATTTGCTGGAAAACACGGCGCTAGCCTGCCTCTCCCTCCCCCATGTCCCCATTGCTGTGCCCCTCTTGCTCATCTTTGTGACCCTCTCCTAGTCTTCTCCTTGGGGTTTGCTGCTTTGTTGTAAAGCGCTCAGCAAACCTGCCATGGGTGGATGGATGGTAGCCACTTCTGATGCCACAGATGCAATCACAGCATGTGTGAAATCAAACAAGCATAGACATCTACCTTGCTAACTAAATACGTGTAGTGGAGGCCCTCCCTGGTGGCGCAGCAGGTTACAGCACAGCACTAAGAAGCTAAAGCCACTTCAGCATGAGTTCGATCCCCGCCCGCCAGAGAGGTGACCCACATGGCGCGGCAGACCTCTCCTGACCCACCCACTGCTCCCCTCAGCAGTGTACCTCGATGATCTGCCTGTTCTGCTCCCCATTCTGTCTCTGGTGAATCCTCTCACCACCCCTGAGCCTCTGGCCTGTACCCCAGTTTTGTATGCATAAATAAATCTTTAATATATATATATGTGTGTGTTTGTGTGTGTAGTGACCTCACTGGCATTGCCATTAAAGAATATTTTTTTATTTTTCTCAAAACCAAATACAGACCCATGCTGATCTTCCTGACTGCCTCCACGGTCTTCTAGAGGGTTCTTTATTCCAGAAGGACCCAGTAAATTCTGCCTAGCAGATTAGCCCTCACCTTTGCCATAATTAAAATGAAGACAGAGCTCCTGCCCGAACAACTCTCAACTGGATCGTCACACACACACACACCCCAAAACATTAGCGGGTCTATCAGAAAAATTTCCAGTTTCTCTTCTTTAAGTTCCCCAAAAGCAACTGAAAATCAAATGAATCTGGGTTAACATGCTGCTCTGAACTGGCAGGTGGTAATGAGCTTGCTAATTATTATCTAGTCATCGCTACCTTGTCGTCCTATTTGGTTACCTGGAGGATGGCATCTAGCTCACCTTGGGATCCCCTGTGTTTCTTCTCCAGATCGTCAAGCCTGAAACCTGAAAAAATGTCTCCAAATGACCTTCGGGTGTCTGGGCTAATAAGGAATTCAATTCAATGTGAAATATTAATGCCACCATCGAATGGGAACTTTTGATTATGCCCAAGTCCTCCCCAGCCTGCGCGCATGGTTCCTGCTTTCACGGTTTATTGTTATTGTTATTGATATTATTCAGCAGCTTTTAGACCATCCTGCAGAAGCACCATCACCCACCCCTGGAAACACATTTAGGTGCATCTTACGGCCTTGGGGATGATTAAAGGATGATTTCTATTCCCCTTTAGTCATCTGTCATTTTGCCTTGGATCGTAAAAGTCTAGGGTAAGTTTCCAGGGAGATTTAATCAAGTGATTGGAGTGGAATTTTCCAAGACTTATCGCCAGAGATAAGTGGCTGGAAAAGTGTGAGACAGATAGACCGGTGTTCCGACCATTCCCTGGGGGTCTGGTCCTGGACAAAACTTTCAACTTTGCACCTCGGACACCACGTCTGTCAGTGTTGTGACTGACAAACTGCTATTTATAAACACACACCAGGTGTTCCCTCCTTGAGTCCCTGCTCCTCGCTTCTAAGAGGGGCTGTGAATGTCATTGCAGCGGCAGCTGTGTTCCAGGTGCAGAAAGTCTACATTTGTGGGAACACAGCCCCCCAGACACCTGGGAAGTACTCCAGAAGCACCTGGAGGGTGACGATGGCAGTTTTCTAGCAGCTCAAGGGATGGAGGGTGGGGGATCTGTGCTTTGTGGGGAGTTTATACCCAGATGAGGTACAGTGCCCTTTATCTTGGAATCTCATGCTCCTAGAGTCCCAGTATAGATATGGCAACTTGAGAATGACTGGCCTAGAATTAACCCTGGTCTGCCTCTCTATTTATTGAAAACCCTGACACACTTAAAGCACCAATGCGCTAGGGGAAAGGACATCTTTGTTGGCTAGAAGAATGCATGCTGGGAGGGAGCTAACAAGGTGAGTAACACTTCTGTGCAAGCAGTGAAGAATCTGGGAGATGAAGAAGACACGGTCCTGGTGTGTCCACAGATCCCAGTACGAGGGGAGATGGGCTGTGTCTGTGGTGCTATGAATGTGCTAGAAGTACCTTGAACCAGGACGGTAGGGTAGGGAAGCCTCACAAATTATGTGACTGAGGACTAGAGCTTGAGGGATGTGGCAGCGTCTACTAGACAGAGGTGAGAGGGTGCATGAGCAGCAGGTGAAACGAGGTGAGGGGAGGGGGCAGGGTAGTCAGAAAGAGAATTTAGGTCAGATGCTAAAAGCTTCGCATACAATGCTCAGGTGTCCTACAAAAGGTCACACTGAGGGGTCCTTAAACAGACCCCCTCATGCTCAGCCCCATTTATTTGTCCTGAAGTCCCCTTTGATTAACAGAGCACGTCCATTAGTCATTTATATTGTTCTTTAGAGCACTTTACCATCCATTATTGCATTTGACGTTCAAATGAATAGTAAAGTAACACATCAAATGCAGTGATGTACCAGCTTGTGTGCTTTGAGTAGAAACAAAAGAAACTTGTTCTGCTGACAACTGAAAGGTTATCTGAAGAATCAATTACCACAAGGGAAGGAATGAGAAGCCACAGGTGGTCCAGAGTACTTAAAGGGAAGAGCATCTCTCTAGGATGTCAATAGAGGGCTGAGTCTGACCCACCCATTTTCTATTCCAACCCCCACCCCCAACATTTCAAAGCACTTATGATATAAAGAGAATTGGCAAATAATGTAATAGATACTTACCCTCCTAATACAGCATTACCAAATTATGATATGCTATCAGATTTGTTTTAATAAAATGTTAAAGATATAATTAAAGATGTTTTGTAACCCTCATTCTTCCATATGTTTGTCTCCCAAAGGTCACAGCTCTTTAACAGTTACTTGTATGTTTTTATTATTTTATTAGATATTTGAACAGATAAAAAATACACTGTATTGCTTTACGACTTGCCCTTTTTGTTCAGCATTTTGATTTTGAGTTTCAACCCTATTTATTCATGTAGGTGTGATTCATTTATTTTCACTGGTGTATAATATTCCATTATGTAAATAATATTTGTTTATTTGAAAAGGGAGTAAGATGAGAGCTGACTTCTTTTCCTAATGCATTTCCGCTGACAAAAAGAAGCTTGAAAGGGGTTGACTTCTCTGTATCATGCCAGCTGACTGTCTGGTGTCTGGGTCCTGGCTTTTGGGTTTCAAGAAACAGTGTATGGGACTGCCATTCTTCTGGGGCACATCCCAGCAGGGGCAGCATGGTCTGGAATCACCAGACATCTTCTGCTGCGCACATCTTCCTGATTGTGGCCATGGGTGGTTGACTGTGGACCCAGAGGTATCCTAATCTTAGAGAAGACAGTGATCCTTTGGGAGTTTTGATTCTGGATAGAGGATGATGTGGAAGTCATTCCTGAAATCTCTAGTCTGTCTCTTCAGTGTTTCCCCCAATGTTCTCTAAGCCACTTCATACCTGATAGTGACTTCCTTTGTGCTTAAATCACCGATAGTGAATTTGAAGTCTTGCCTGATTTGTATCAGTTATTTATAAACGTATTTAGTAACTTGCCACCAGATATACTTGTATTTATTTTTAAATTGCATTATTAAAGTGAATGCTACAATGAATATTCTTGAACATGTCTCCGGTGGGGTATTTGCAAGAGATTCTCTGGGTATAAAGGCATATATGCCTTGAAAGCTACTAAGTAATACCAAATAACTATTTTATCAGCTTCTGTCCCATTTGTAGAGTATGAGAAAAGTTCAATTTCTCAATATCTTTACCAACTCTTGGGACTGTTATAACGTGTTATTTTTGCCAACTTGTGTGAAATGGTAGCTCTTGGTCGTGTTGATTTTATTTCCTTTAATAATTAGTGAGACAAACAATTTTCATAAACTTATTTATCATTCATGTTTCCTCTTTTGTAAACTCCTTGTTCAGATTCTTTGTGGATCATTGTTCTCCTTTTCCTTATTGATTTGCAAATTTTATGTATGTATTCTGAACTTAATCCCTGGTTGGTTATATGGGTTGTAAATATAGTCTCCCCCTCTGTGACTTGTCTTCTAATTTGTGTTTTTCAATTAGGCTAAAATGTTCAAGTTAAGGTGGTTTAGAGTTATTACCCTGTGGTGATATCGGAAAAATTTCAGGAAGAGTTGTGGGATCCGTCTCCAAACACCTAACCATGAGTATCCGTTGCTTCAGCCCCTGTTATTTAGAGGAATAGCTATATTTGTGAGTCAATTAATTTTCCTTAACATGTAATGTAATTTGCCATTGTGTGTACCATGTTCACACACATGAGCTAGCACACATAAGACCGTCAGTGGCATAGGCGTTGATCCCACGTCAGAGCCCAGGGCAGTCTGTACACAGAGGCAGAGTGAGCACTGGGCAGGCAAAAATAATAGACTCAGCTATTTGGCAGGATGAAAAGTAAGTAAAAGCTATTGACTCTTAGCAGTAGTCAGCATTGCAATATGGTAAAACAACAAGAGGAATTCTCTAAAACATATTTGCATATGGACAATGGCAGCATATCTTAAAAAGGAACTCTGAAGTCAAATGAATTAGTAGAGAAGGATCCAGAGTAAATAATGCTTCTGTGAAGACAGAGGTGATATTCCAGGCAGAGATAACAGCAGGGCAAAGGAGAGGAGCTATAGTTAAGTACATTGTGTTCAGAGAACATCCAGGAGTTTAATATGGCGTATGAAAACCAAGGAGGGTCAGTCATAGGCGAAGCCAGATGGGAATAAAGGGTCTCAAACACTGGTCAGTAGATACCTTCAGAGAGAAATAAAAGCATGTGGGAGGGACTTTTTTAAAGATTTATCTATACATACAGAACTGGAGTACAAGCCGGGGTGGGTGGGGAGTTGGTGAGAGGATTCACCAGCGACAGAGTGGGGAGCAGAACAGGCAGATTGAGAAAGTACACTGCTGAGGGGAGCAGCGGGCGGGTCAGGAGAGGTCTGCCACACCATGTGGGTCAGCTCCCTGGCTGGGGATGGAACTCTGTGCTGCAGGGGCTGTGATAGCTTCATAGTGCTGTGCTTTAACCTGTTGCACCACCAGGGAGGTGTGGGAGGTATTTTTTTTTTTTAATTTTAGAACAGTTTATTTTTACATCATTTTGTATATATTTTTTTTTTTCCATCTCAGTTGTAACCCCCACAGGTTTCCCATCACCAAGTTACCCGTGTGCCATCACCATAATCCCTTGCACTTCCCTGGTGTGGGAGGTATTTTTAATGATGAAAAACAAAACAAGAGTATTGACGTTTAGGTGTTAAAAATATCTCAATTTCATGGTTTCTCTGGCTCATAGCTGCTTTAAGCTGCCACTGTTAGAGAAAAACACACCAGCCAGGTAGATTCCGGCATAGCTCATCTTCTGTTCTCCACTGAATTTAAAGATCTCCATCTGCAGTGGGAGACCAACAAAGTAGAAACTCCTCTGAGAAGCAGGGAGAGCTTAGAGCCCAGTGTTTTTTATTTTCAATGTTAGTTTTTATTTCAAATGTTACAATTTTATTGTCCATAGCACCCACTTTTGTTTCAGGACACACGGATACTTGAGATCTAGGCAGGCGTAAGGCAAGGAAAAACAGGCTATTTCATAGCCTCTGATGTCAGTGGATTTTGGTTTTAAACCAGCTTCTGCCCCTTGCCAGTGTAGCTTCGGACTTCTCCAAACATGGATTTTCAAACTGCGAAGCTGTAATTAAAATATTCACATCCCCCCCCACACACCCAAAACAACCACATAAAAGAAACCTAGTTTGATATACCAACAATTGTTCATAAGTATTCATAGTATCACTCTTTTAAAGCAACATACAAATAGACGTCGATCGTATAGTTGTTTGTTGTTTTGAAGTCGCACAGTATTTTTCTGTTTTTGAAAATGAAAAGTGATTTTCACCAGTATTTTAAAAATAGAAACAGAATAAAGTAAAGTAGACTGGATCAGCATGGAATGGCATACATACGGATAGAAAATACCAATGTAATGTTGTGGTTTGAAATACTCTTATCCCCAGGAGGTGTGCATGTGTGGTTTAAAATAGTAGGCTTAAACTGAATAAAAAAATTAAGATAACTTACAATTTAAACTTTGAGCTTCAAGTCGAGTTCTCTTTTTGACAGTCATCCTTGCCCAATTCAGGGGAAGGTTAGGTGTCCTGTGGGTTTTTAATGAATATTAACTGCTAGTCATGGCGTGAGTGATGGAAATCACCAATTGAGGGGCTAAGGCATTCTTCAGAATTAATGCCTGATGAGAAGGACTATTCTAGTAAATAGCTAAGGGCTTTTAGCGGCAGCTCAGCTGTCTCTCCAGGGAATGTCTCAATCAGAAGTCATCATTATGCTCTCAAGAACTGCAAATGGAGATTCATAAACCCATAAATTTCCTTTTCAATGGACCCTGGATTTGCATGACTCAGTTAAAAGGCAGGGTTCAAGAATAAATATCTTGTTTAGTAAACACAGAGGTTAGGGGCAGAAAGGCTAATCATTTAATAATTCTCTGAGAACCATCCAGTTTAGAATCTACCAGTAAAAAATATCCCAGAGGAAATTATCTCTGACAGAACCTCCATTTGCTCCACTGGAATTGGGCTATATGATTTCCAAGTTTTTATCCAACTTAATATTCTATGAGCTGAGGTGAAATTTTTACTAACAAAGCCCTTTAGTGAATCTTAACATAATACCACAGTGGGCTTGGAGCACCTTTAATTCACAAATACATTCAATTCTATTTTAAACAGATGAGTATTTGTGTCTCCACTATGTTCTTGGCAACAGCTAAATTGAAAGAATGGCGTGAACACGACTCCATTGACAACTGCATTGATTTCTTCAAAGAACTGTGACCCACTCCCCATGTAAAGGCAGGTAATTATTCCTTCTTTTTCAAGGTCATATTACATTGTAATATTTGTTTCATGAAACACAATTTTCTTGGAGTCTTCGCTAACTCCACTGTGCAAACCACAGGTTTTTTCTGTCTTCTAACTGTAAAATATCACCATGCTAAAATAAAATATGTTCATCTAAGCGACACTCTTTTACTAGAGATTCTGATTATATTTCTCCACCGTCATGCCAAGATAGCCACACATGCATACCTGGTGCATTCACACACACACACTCACACACACAATCATAATCTATGGTTCAAAAAGCAATCCCCTAGACTAGAAGGGGTTTTGTTGCTTGTGTGTTTGTTTTGTTTTTTACTTTTGTCACAGAGGATACAAAAACGCATGCAAATAAAGATTTGTGCTTGTGATGGACAGAGACAAGAGACTAGTGAGAACAATGGACCCAACTGGCTACGTGAGGACACAAGGGACGGAGGGGACAGGTGAGGCTCAGAGGGAAGGTGGGCGGCAGGCACAGAGCTGCAAAGATGAGCCCCACCTACTACTCGGGAAGCCATGTCAGTCCACCCACTGAAGCCCCCTGTGGCTATGTGACTTTTATAGCCTTCAAGACAAAAATCCAGGAGGTGCACAGGGATAATGTAGAGAGGCAAACTATATATACATGACTGAGATTAGAGGAAAAGCTTCCTAAGCGTAATTTGTCGGCGAAATTACTCAAGGATAAGTCAACTGTGAAAATATGGCCACTGAGGCTAAGGTTAGCATGAACCATTCAGATCTGCTGAGCTAATGCTAGCTACATAATGGAAAACTGCTTGGTTAAGGGTTTAACTTAAGTACCAATTTTTCTCACCCCCTCTTTTAATAAGGGAAAGGTGTGGGGGGCAGGCTGAGGTAGCCACGTTGCAGTAATCATGCTGAATCCGATAAAGTGGCCGCTGGTCTCTCTGTCAGGGAAGCATATTTTTTCATTCCCCCTATTTTTTTTGTCTCCCTCAGGACCTGGATATTCACCTCAGCTCCTACAAAGCAAATGACACTGTTTTTGCTGGGGTTTTACCAGAGAGCTAGAAGAAGTCTCTTTTTCATTCAAATTGGCCAATACTTGGGTAGCTACAGGGACATAAATTAGAGCTGTACAAAGACTGAAAAGCAGAAATAAGGAGATAGGGAGTCTAAGGGCCTCATATGGGCTATGAATTAATTGGTGTCACCAGAAGAAAATCCTGTTTGATAACTCGGTGAATATTCTAACAAGGACATATTTCACATTATCCCCAAATTTATAATTATGCTCACTACACACCAATGGAAATCTCTCCCCAGATTTTACTCTCTGATGGCTATGTAATAAAAGATAATATATATTCTATACTAAGCAATAAATAGGGAGCACTGAGCAGCACTGTCTTCCTGAGGAAATCGCAAGTCTTCTGGGATGCATATTCGCTCACACAAGAAGGAGACACAAATCAACATGGTGGCCGAGCAGGCAAGGGGTGAGTGATGGCCCCAACTTCTAATAAAACCAAATCATGAAAGGCATTAGAAAGATTGATTGGCGTTAAGTTAGCTGCCAGTGTTAGCTGGGGTATCCCAGGCTGTAATGAAACTGCCAGGGCTTATTTATGGAGATGTCGGGTTTGGGGTGTAAGTTATGTCCAGCAGACTGGTCTTATAACAGACACACACTTGAACCTCCACCCAGTTCCACACAGCCTCCCTCACACTGGTCCGAATGGCATGTGGCCTCAGCATTTGCACCAGGCCAGATAAAGGCAGGATCCCCACAGCAAGCGAAAGCAGCCAAGGCTGGTGAACAGCTGGAAAATGTCAACTGTAGGTAAAATCAGGTGTCAAAAATCACCCCTAAATGATTGTTGCTAAAGCAAAATAAAACTCATACTCATGCAAACAATGTCTCCCTCTGAGTGAGGGGAGGCATTGTGCTTATTTTCAGTGTTTGTTGACAGGCTGATGTTGCCATGGTTCCTTTCATGAGAGCTGGGAAGGTGAAGAGAAACTGGAAACTAACAGGGAGGTTGGGTGATGCAGTGTGTGCTCGGCCTTTGGTGGGTACCGGGCAGGGAGAGGGCGTGGCGGGCGGATGGGGAAGCAGAGTTACTAGCCCAGTCTTCCACCCAGGTCTCCTGGGTGCTTGTTAGTTGACTTTAAGGTGAATGTGGAAAAGGAATGGAAGCCAGTGAAAAAGGAGGGCTCTTCAAGAGCCACCAAGAGTCTGATTATTTGAGCTGCAGCATAATCACGAAGCTGGAAATGTCACTTTCATTTACTACCTAACTGGTTTCTAACAGAAGGAAAGGGGGAGACAGTTCATTGGCAAGTGACTTTCTTTAATGACTAACATGTAATTTGGGGATTTATATTTATTTATTTAAGATTTATTT